TTCGTTTTTGTATAATACATACATTTGTATTTACATATATATGTATATGTATGTATGTACATATGTACATATAATATTCATACTATACTGCCAATGTCTTCAATCATTGTTTTCAACCAAAAGTAAAGAACAAAAAAACATCCAGCAACAGAAACAACAATTTGGCATTTCGCTTGTGCCTCCCACACTGGTAGATGTTTTGTCCCAGCTTTTGGCTGGCGGAAAAGTATACTCGTACAGAAACAAACATATAAACATACATATGTACATACAAACTCGACACTTTTGCGACCCCCATATACGAGTAGTGTAACAATGCCGCCTATACTCAACTTGTTATATTCCGATAGTGTATATACATAGATATATGTTTGCATGTATGTTTGTATGTATGTACATATGCGTTCATATGCTCCCGTTTTAATAGGTGGCACGCTCTTCGTAGTGCTATGCCAGAAAATTGTCGTGAAAATGAGCATTCGAGCAATGAAGCATTGGAGCAATGGGGAGCAGCATGAGCACGAGAACGAGCACGAGCACCACACGGCATGTTTGGGGAGAGCATCAAAATGTTCTTTACCGTGTTTTGCCGTGAGCATGTAAAATTTTTTTGTTTGAGCATGGCTTTACTTTCTTGACGCTCGCTATACTGACTGCCATCGCCACAGCCAGCGCCAATGGCCAACAATGAGCGACATACCCATAGTACTCGGAAATTGTGAAAGCTAGAAATAGAAATTTGTCGGCTGTTAGCTGTTCTGCTGACGCAGCCACTACTGCCGCCGCTGATGTTGCTGTTCCTGCTCCAGACGACTGGCTCTCACCGCAGCAGGTTGGATTGGTCGCTTGGTGATTGCATGAGTGCTCTCACCCGATTGAGTCGTTGTTCTACTGTCGATTGCAACACTTCTGTGCCAGTTTGTTGTTAGTTATTATTTTGCCTTAGCTTTAGTAGCCAAAAGTAATATATACAAAATAGCAAAAATACAAAATAGAAAAGTGAAATAAAAAGTATGAGAATAAATAATGTGCCAAAAAAAATAAAAATATATATATTTTTTTTTGTTTAGCAGATCAACTGTCAAATTGTGGTCAATAATAATAATAACAATAACAGCACTGCAATAAAATAAAATAAATTATTGAATAGTTGCAAGAGTTGCAGGGGTTTTGCGTGAAAGCTAAGAATTTTCCAAAAAGAAAAAAAGTTTTTCTTTTTTTTAATATTCGCTATGTGACAGCACAGTCATTCGTCCTAATGGGATTTTGTGTATACCGATGATTAGTAGTGTATATCAAGAGGAGGACATGAGCGTGCGAACGAAACGAAGGGCGAAGGGCGAACGGCGAACGGCGGTGGGCGGAGTGTACAAGGATGTAGGATGTACGACACACATACGCCTATACGGAGTGCGAAAGGAGAATGTATCCTTCAGTTTTTCTGCGTACGAAGCGAAATGAATATCAATAGCGGGGGGCGAGGGGGTATTGGGGTTTTGCAATGCATAATATTTTGTGTGCTGCGCTGTTTTGAAAATCCCCCACTTTCACCAACACCACTGAATTTCGTTGGCGATTAAATTGTGCTGCAGCAGTTAAGTCAAGTGAAAAGTTATGAAATTCAATTAACAAAATTTCGCAGTCTATGCAAATTTGCATCGGTGTTGTTTTTGTTCCTTTCATTTCTTTTAGCACACGCTACTCTACTCGCACAGCAGTAGATATACCAAATTTGTTGGGCGTCTGCGCCAAGGCGTACTTGATTGTCAATACTTGGCAATTCCCATAGATGAGCTTTGTGCACAAAATACGCACATACATACATACATATGTGCATGCATACAGTAGACATACAAACATGGATATTAACGCTGTTGTATCTGCGAATGCAACTGCACCTATTTTATGGGCATGCACCTGGAACAGATACAACAACTGCAATTGACAACTTACTTATATTTAAATTATTCTGTGCTATGCTATTGTGTTGTTATTGTTATTATTATTCGCGCCATAAACAAATGTAATAAACTATGGATATCATAAAAATAAAATAACCAAATCTTTCTGTTCTATTAAAAATTTTACTACGCAAAAAAAAATAAAAATAAAAATCCAAACTTAAACTCAAAGAAAGGGCGCCCTGCTTTTACAACGAGAATAAAAAGTGAGTTTCAGTGGTTTCGCCCATTACGCGAATGACAACGTACTTTTAACCAACTTTCGAGTGGTCAGCATAGCCGAGGCGCAACTTGCGGAGCTATTTCACAAGGTAGTATTTATATACAGTTAGACCATTCATTCAGAATTCATACTTTAAAGAAAATAAAATTTACATTTTTACAGTAACTTAATTTTACACTTACGCTCACCTACATATATATGCACATATGTATGTGTTAAAGTACAAAAGTAGGTAAGAACAAAAACAAAAACCAAAAAAAAACAAGAAAATGCATTAAATACGAATATAAAAATGCACATAAAAATGTTCGGCCAACGAACGCTCGAACCCCGTCGATCGTCACATGTGTGAAGTGGTGCGCTCGAACGCCAACTCTGTATGCAGGCATGTGAGTGAGTGTGTGTGTGTGTGCGCGCAATTGCACATTGTGCATCTTCAAGATCTACATACTCGTACTGATCTGTCCGTGGGGTGTAGAAAAGTGTAAAGTAGTAGCATTGTTTTAAAAATAAATTGCCATTTTCGAGATTATTCATTTTTTTAGTTCGTCGCATTTAAAAATCTGCTAGCGGTATGCTCACACTGAGATTGTGTGACTGTGTCGGGAGACAAATAGGAAGCAGCAATATCATACATACATACATATTGAATGTACTTGGCTGTTTACAAATATGCACATGCATTCATGCATATATTCATATGTATGTATATATATGTATGTATATGTACGTACGTACAAGTGCACCTGCAGGCATTGGAGGGAGCGCTGTTAAGCTTTCTGTGTTGATTTTGGGGCTTCATCCTTTGAATCCACTCATAAAGCAAAGCTGTACATTTTCGAGACTCATGTCTACTAAATATAGATTTTATTCAATGTCCAGTCAATACTAAATAGCCTAGTCCATCTGGCTCTATATTTAGTTGTACCTCGAAAAAATTTCGTACAGGATAAAAAGGCAAATGGACAAATGTACAAAAATGCAGGAAGTGATCGTAATTTGTTGAAATTTGATACCACAATGATTACTTTACTTTTACTTTAGTACTTTATGATTTTCAACAATGAAATCGGTTGTTGTAGCGGTTATAATTTTCAAAAACCCCGGGTTTCTCGTATCGGCTACTAATTTTGTGAAGAACTCCCATTTTCCCAGCATGCGAAATAGTGTCAATTGACCTTATTTCCGTTGATTTTGTTACCTGTCACATGCGGAGAGTCACCACATGACTCACGGCACCTCTTCGCATGTTCTCCAAAACTTCAATCAGCTAACGCCCTTGTCCCTATGGACAAACCCAGTTGGAGAAAGGAGAAAGTATAAGATGCCGTCCTGACCTCCACCTAAGCTAGGAAACAGTACGTTAACTCTCAAGGCATTCAAAAAATATCTATGGTGGTATGGTAGGTCGCTCGAAGCGCTCAAAGTTTTCCATGTATTTTATATGGGATAAAAACAACTTTTTGTAGAAATGGTATAGAATTCTTGAAAATTAATATTTTTCGGTCGGAGAACTCTGGTTCTCTTCAGGAGACTTCCAATAATAATATCCCATTGTTTATCTAACCATTTTTCAATGCTAAATATTTTTATATATTCCCCCATTGCTTTTTCTGGCATTTACTAGGGGTTTTTGGCGGACCTATAAAATATAGTTACTATAAAAAATGGTTAAAAAATAATTGGCTATTATTACTGGGAATCTCCTGAAGAGAATCAGGGGTTTCTGGTCGAAATATATTTATTTTCAAGAATTCTATACCATTTCTACAAAAAGTTGTTTTTATCCCATATAAAATACATGGAAAACTTTGAGCGCTTCCAGCGACCTCTAAATATTTTTTGATTTCAAAATAAAAGATAGGGGTATATTTTTTGGTATTGAACAATCCGAGGGTGTGAGAGCATTAAAATTCTGTACTTTTTTTAAATGAATTTTTGGATTATCCTAATGTACATACATACGTGAAAAGGTTGGAGGGTGTGCCAAGACTTGTGGTTCTGTGAACAACTGGAGCATTGTGCAACACTCAAAGAAATCGACACTGATGTTAAAGGTAACACAGGTTCCTGCCAGGCATCTTAACTTTTCTACAACTAATTGTCGACCTTGGCCGAAGACAAAATAGTGGTTCTCTCGAAGGTCCCTAAAGTCAACTCATCTTTGTTCAAAAAGGGGATGTGTTAAGTAAGAAGTAAGGAAGGATTAGACAAAGATTAGAGACATGAGACAATTAACAGTAGTAGGGATTTTTTTTTTTTTAATTTTGAGTTGTGCCGTTATTTCAGAGGACCATCGACTAACAAACATGGTTACATATGCATACAAATTAAGTCTTGAAAATTTAGGTAACAGTGATAACAATAAAAGTGTTTCCTATACTTCTATTCCTTTCCACTTATGTACATATCCTATCAGTCTGCAAACTCTTCGGAAATGTTAAGAGCAAGTTTCTGCAGCCAAATTCGAATCCTTAAATGCTGTTATCATCGCTTATCATCTCTGAGCAGCGCTCTCTCTCTCTCTGCCCCTATATTTTCGACACACGACAATTCTCTTACTTGGTGTATGTGTTAGTTGTTAAGTATACGCATAACAGAGACGATTTTGTTTTATTTGTGAATTCGCAGTAAAGGCCAAGCTTTTTGTAATTTCTTTTTTTCGAGGTTTTCTATGCAGGAAGTTTTAAAAATTTGTGAACTTTTCTATAGCTTCACACTACATAGCGTTCTCGATAGCTTATTCATTTACTTTTACTTATAAATCGCTCTTGCACGTTTTCAGATTAAGAGCAACAGCGCTTAGAATGGGTATCATTGCTTGATTTGTTTTTTATTACGCTTATCCAGCAGCGATTTCGGTTTGTATGTAGGAACACATGGCGAATGTGTGCACATTACCTAATCTAGGGAAAAGTGATTTAATTTCGTTAGCCTTTGTTGGGCTGTAAACTGGTAGCAAATCCCATAAACTCACTTTTTTTCTTAAAATTTGTATTTTTCCTTTAAAGTTGGGACAAAGTAAGGGTAAAATAAAAATTACTAACCAATATTAACTATTAAAATTTTAGCTTAAAATGAAGCGTTTTCATGTTTTACAAATTCTATATTAATTTTAATGCTTTTTTAGCTGGTGACTCACATAAATTCAGTTACAAAAAGAAAAAAAAAAAATCGCATAACAAGTTAATAGCGTTTTAACTCACAAGTTTACTTTAGTAATTTGTCCACTTTTCTTTGGGTTTTCAAACTTGAATTCATCTTTTCGTCATAGAAAGGACTAAAGGTTAAATTAGTGGTGACATAACCATAACCATATAAAACACCTCTTCCAACCAACCTTATTCGATTAGTGGTGCCACACAATAACGCCATAGCCATAAGCATATCCATAGAGACCAATTAAATGTTGGTTTTCCGCAATAACCATAATCAGCTGATATCTGAAGTGCGAGTATGAACGTGTTGCCAGACGATAAAAAAAAAACAAAAGTAATAAATATTGTTCACAACGAACGTTTTGGCATAAGTGCAAAATATGAACCATTTAGCTATGCAAAAACCAAAAATGTGGTTCGATAGAACGGCTCACGCTGATTTCAACCGAAATTACCGAAATTATTTGGCGCAAAAATATAAAGATATAGAAGGGTAACTGAAAAATTTTTTGATTTATTTTAAATAGTAATATATTATGAACTACATAACCGATTCAAAAACTAATTTATGTCAAAGTATTTTAATCCAAAAATACTGAAAAATGAATAAAAATTTCGTATTTTTTCATAAAATAACCTTTTTTTTAACAAAATTTCATAATTAATGCAAAAGAAGTTTATATTATTAAGAAAGTACATGTTATTACCTTTAATTTGGTGTACATATTTTTGTAGTGTTCATAAGATACACATATTCCGCGTCTTGTTCCACGTCTGGCAACACTGACATTGTTGACTACGAGAAATCAGCTGTTTATGGTTATGTTACCTATAATCGATGATAGTTAATGTGGTTACAGTTATGGCAATGGTTATGGCTATGGCGTTATGGTATGTCACCACTAATTTAACCTTTAGTTTTTTAAAGTCTGTGCTGGTATTGCGACTTTCCAGTCTTTGACTGTGTTAAATTGTCAACCGTTAGTGTAGACGCCTCTTGATTAGATACTCTAAACGTTTTAAATGGGCTTTAGGTCTGGACTATTTGGGGGCCAATCGTGAACTGTAATATCTCGTTGTCTAAAATCTCCTTTGTCTGCCTAGAAGTACGAATCGGCATTATCTTGCTGAAAAATGAAGGCAGGTCACATAACTCTTCTGCTTCCTCTATCGTCATGGTTTCCGACAAATAGTAATAGATTGCGGAATTAATTTTTGATGGAACCTAAGCTATTTCTGTGGTACATCATAGAAATTTCTATTGCAAACAAATTATCCAAAGAGTTTTTGGGGAGCGATGCTGGAGTTATGGTCCTTGGCCAGATATAAATCTGGGTCGTTCCGGTTACATAGACCCGTCTGTAGTGACAACGATCTAAGTCTGACATCTTTATTGGTGACGTCCTTTACTTGTTTAATGACATCATATGCTTTGTCTTGTTTTCGTTCACCAGTTTTTCTATCTACATACATATGTAATTTTCCAAACTTTCAACTCTAACAAAAGGTCGCCCATTTTTCTTCTTATTCATATATGGCACCTCAAATATTTGTAGTTTTGGGCCGAGATCAAAAAACTTCGCATTGGTCCTTGTATTGCATTCGTCGGTGCCGGACGAAACTAATTTACCTTGTCTAAAATCTGGTTTGCTCCCGAACGGCTTACAGAAGTCCTTGCCATTTTGAAAGGGGCGAAAAGTTATGCTCAAGGTCACATTATATACATCGTCGTATTATTTTTGTAGAGCTCCCAAATTTAGACATTGAGTCGTAGCGGGAGTTTCTTTTCGTACTATAGAAAGTGGCAATAAAATCGACGAAAATGTGTTGAGTGTCGCATTTGTTTATCGAACAGTAAAAATCTCTGCAATGGTGGACTTGGCAGGTCTGAAGCCACACTATTAAGGCTCAATAGGTTGATTTATGAAGG